ATATATATATCAGTAAATTTATGAAATTTTCCAATATATTTTCTATATAAAAAGCTAATTTTTTAAAAATTATTTGTCAACTTTATTTATTTATTTATTTTTTTGAAAATTTAAAATCCAAAAGTAATCTATTTCGGGCAAAAGTTAAAAGGAGAAGTCAAAACGAAATGAACGGAAATCCTACCTTCCAGTTCAGCAACTTCCTTCGAAGGTGAATCAACCTTATTCATCTCAATTTCTGCTTTAAAAACATTTAAAAAGCATCAGTAAAATATTGAATCCTTCAATAACAATTTTAAATAAAAATGAATCGCAGAATATTCACCAGTACACGTCATTTTCATCTCTAAATTACATCCCAAAATCAATTAATTTAATAGCTTTAACAACCATCTTTTGAAATATTTTTAAACGTTAATATTTTATTAAATTAACGTATCAAAGTTAATAGTAATAGCATATGATATAATATTTAAAAACATTTAATTTACCTCCGTTTTCTGTATTCGCTACATCTTTTACGAATACCGTAAACATGGCGCCAGGAACGACATCTCATCAAACAATTGCTCATGCGTCGACAGAATATTTAAAAATAATTAAATAAAAATAATTTGTTTTTAAAATTTCATCGGCAAATTGTATATTATAACATAATTAAAATTAATTTTTAGTTTAAAATTTTATCAAACTACTTTTAAACAATACAAATAGATTTTTTTTTTTAACTTTCTGCCCCGTGGGTACCAAGAGGGCCTCTTTTAGCAAGTCCATTATGAATTCGACCAGACCCATAATGGGGCCCGACTACCTCCGAAAAATTCCTGTAGATTTTTCCGACCCATTCGGATTCGATCCTGGGTTCCTGGAGCGGTAGGCTGCCATATTGCCCACTCGGCCATCCATCCTATATATATATATATACAGTATAAGTTTATATGGTAGCATTGTCATTATATGGAATGGAAGACTTGGAACATGATAAAATAGCTAATAAAATGTTTATAAGAAACTAGAAGCTAATAAATGAAAATTGTTATTTAAATAAGATATTTAATCAGTTATTACGTTGAAAATATTTTTATTATAATCAGAAGAGTGTGATACAGCCAGAACCAGAAAAAAAAATACGGCTTTCACTGGACTTTTTTCAAAATTCTTTCCGCCCTGTGGGCACTAAGAGGGCATCTTTTAGCAAGCCCAATATGGCCTGACATATCCGAACAGACCACTATTCNATTTTTATTATAATCAGAAGAGTGTGATACAGCCAGAACCAGAAAAAAAAATACGGCTTTCACTGGACTTTTTTCAAAATTCTTTCCGCCCTGTGGGCACTAAGAGGGCATCTTTTAGCAAGCCCAATATGGCCTGACATATCCGAACAGACCACTATTCCTGGGGGTTTTTCGATTCGTCCGGATCGATTCCGGGTCCGCAGAGCAGTTAGTTGGCTGCTACCTTGACTGCTAAGCCATCCAGCTGTTGGCTTCAATGGGCAGACCGCATGTCCACTTTTTCCCGGACATGTACATTTTAAGTTTGTGCATGGGCGTCCTCAGAGGGGAGCAAATAGGGCACTTGCCCTCCTTGTGCTAGAGAAAAAAATTCTACAAATTATAATCGTAAAAGTGATTGAGATATGTAGCCTTACACTCTCGACCATGGGACGATTTATCAGTCTTAAAATTTATTTTCTGTGTTAAAAACCAAAAAAAGTTAATAATTAATTATAAAGTAAAGTCACTATGGTCACCTGCATTAATTTTAAAATCAAAATAAAAATTTGTATTTTGTTTAAATAACGGATTTATGTTTTTAATTTAATAAAATGATTTAACTAAACGTTATTAAGTGAGTATAATATATATATATTTTAAAGTTATATTTTTTTTATAAAAATTATTTTTGTCGGTTCGTTAAAATTTCCTGCCAATAGATGGCGCTACGTTAAAACAAACACTACTGGTGAGGATATAAATCGATTGATTTATAGAAACCCAATAGTTATTTTGGAATGCGATGTTCGACATTACGTAAGTTAGCTGTGTATGGACTTAACTGCCAAGATAAATGATATTTTAAAGAGAAAAAAAAAGCGACTGGGGGCGCGAACCCGGGGCTGCATTGCTGCAACGTAAGCTTGATGCAGGAGCGTTTGAGAGAGAAAAAAAAAAAAGACGACATGTGGGTCCGAACCCAAACTGCACATTGCAACGGGAACATGTTGGCGGACAGTTTGAGGGGGGAAAAAGACAACTAGTGATTCAAACCCAGACTGCATGCACATCGCGTAATGAGGGCAGAACTGAGCGGACAACTAGCGCCTTCGGAAGAAATGAAGATGTTTCATCTATTTATATTTTATCTAAAGTACACGCAGTGCCATCTATTAGCGGAAAATTTTACAAAACGTTATTAAGTCATTAACTACTGTATATAAAAGCGGAAATCCGGTTTCTGCACGGTATGCCAAAAACGGCCACTAGGGGCGCCCCTAGCTATTATTTTATATTTTTACAGTATATTATTATTTTTTGAAGTTAATTTTGAAGGATGTTATGGGTAGAAAATTTTAAATTTGATTAAAAATCTGTTTCTTTTTTCCAATTATTTCAAATTTAATACTAACAGATTTTTCTGAATTGAATTTTTCGAACTCATTTTCATGCAGTTCTTTTCCATTAGTATAAATAATTCATACTGTTCCTTTCAGTGCTGTGCGATGTCTATAATTTCAACATCGATGTCAAACATCGATGTTTGCCTAAGCATCGATGCTAAATTTCGATGTCGGATTTCACATCGGTTTGATCGATGCCCATTGGAACATCGATGTTTAATCAAGATAAACTCAAACAATTTAAAAAAAACCGGGTTTGTTCGAACAGAAGTTCCTGACGCATGCGCAATGTCATTTTACAATGCGAAGAATAACGTGCATGCCGGTTCTAAATCAGTTACAGTAGGGACTAGGGACTTGCGTAGGAGTAACGTAAGTAACCTAAATTAAGAAAGAACAGGTACAGATAACGTAGCTCTATTTGATACGTGTACGATCGTACATGCAAAAAAAAAGTCGACAGGGTTTTTTTTTACTATTTCCGCCCTGTGGGCACTAAGAGGGCCTTTTATAGCAGGCCCATTATGGGTTCGGCCAGGCCCACAATGGGGCGACCGGGTGGTGAGGGACGGGGCCTGACATATCCGAACAGACCACCCCCCGAAAAATTCCTGGGGATTCCTTGACCCGTCCGGATTCGATCCCGGGTCCCCCAGAGCG